TCTGTTAACTCTTTTCTCTACCCAGGTGAGGCCCATCTTGTATGCTGTGCACTCTCCAGTCACCCCTGATCCTCTCTCTGCAGGGAGGTATCGGTCAGGTTCATGCTTCTCTTTTCTGTCACCAGCAGCAGCTCTTTCTTCCTGTCATCATCCCTCTGGCAGTCTCAGGCTCTGCCTCTTCACAGTTTGGCAGGTCCAGGCAGTCTCCGACATATCCACAGGAGCCTACCAGGAAGACAAGCAGGTGCTTTCAGTTCCACAGAGTGTACATTCAGCCCCATGGTCATGCTCGGCTTGCAGGCCCATTGCTGCACTCCAGCTTAGTAAGCTGCATTCCCTGACAGGCAGCCAAGCAGGGACTTGCCAGGCTGGAGTTTGGACCCGGCAGGGAGTAAGCAGCGTGTTGGATGGGTAGGGCAGGAGGGTGCTGCCAGGGAGTGACACTGAGCAGGCAGAGGTCTCTGGGAGCCAGTGGCCAGCAGGGCAGGGAATGGTCTTAAACATAGGCATATGATCAAAAAGTGGCATGGTCTTAAACATGGGAGGTATGATCAAAATGTGCAGTGAATGTTCAAATGTTTAAAAAAAATTATTCAGTAAAAAACAAACTGCCATCAAAACACATGTGCATGCGAAAACACCACGCACACATACACACACAAATAGAGCCAAAAAAATTTCCCCCTTAATTGGAACATACCAATCTCATCACCCCTACTACCCTCTGGAGCAGCTCCAGAGGCCTCCTCCCTTCATGTCTTTCTGTCCTTACAAGCTGTGATAAAAAATAGGATGAATGCTGCTGCCAAGGTCATCCAACAGAAAGACAGATTTGCAAAAACATGACACTGTGTTCTAATCCACCCTATTCACCAAATCTGGAGCTATGCAACTTCTACCCTTCCCCAAAGTCGAAATGACCACAAAAGGTAAAGGTTCAGAACTGATTAAGATACTGAGGCAGCTAAAATAGTACAACTGAAGACACTCAGGAAAGAGTAGCTCCAGAATTGCTCCAGAAAGTGGCAAGAATGATGGGACAAGTGTTCCTAGAAGCAATGCGGAGTATTCTGATGGGGACTCATGGCAATGTGTGTCCCGCTGCAAACTATTTTCCCAAATATGAACAGTCACCTTATCCTGGCAACACACCCGTACACATGTGCACAATGAGTGTACCTGAGCTAACACACTGTTAATGTCAGTGGAAAGGTGCTGTGGGTAGGGCTACTATGACTCACTTATGGCCTGGGAAGAGAGATGTGTACAAGTGAGCAGAGGCTACCAGCCCGGTACTCACTCGAGGGAAACCAGACTGCCCACATCTTGGTGTGCTCAGAGGCTGATGTGGGCCTTTGAGTCATTTCCACTTCATTGTGCTATTTTGCTGTTCTATATTGGCTTGTCTCACTATTTTGTACATAGGGACAAGTGGGAGGTTCAACCAGTCTAACAACGCATACTGTATACCATAAATGTCAGGTCAAACATTTCTATTTATTCCTGTGCATATCCAGCAGATTTGTGCCTACAACTTTTTCCGTGTGTTTTGAGTTTTTTCTTTTTCTTTTCTTGTTTTCATTCTTTCTGATACAGGGGCTCACTATTAATTAAGGCCAGCCTTGAACTCACTATGTAGCCGAGGCTGGCTTCAAACCCACAGCGATCCTCCTGCCTCAGCCTTCCAAGGGCTGGGATTACAGTCGTGTGCCTCCACACCCAGTTATAACTACTGTTAAAATAAAAAACAGAGTCATCTGAAGAAATACATGGGGTCTGGAGCTTGGGCACAAGATCAAGAAGGCAGAGTTAGGTGGGAAGGTCTGGCCATCCCTAGCAGGCCTCAGGAAGTCTTTGCAACACCAGACACACTGTTGGGACACAGGCTCAAAGTTGGAGTCATTACACAATAGGGATCCTCAGTGGTGAGTCGTTTTTGTGGAGCATAGCTCCCAAGTAGTTCAATCTTATCTTTGCAGTTCTTATCTTCATTACTTCATCTGTTCAAATCCCTTGGTTTGCTTTCAACCATATCAGTATGTATTCGAACCTCCTGAAGTTCTCTCCAGTAGCCTACTGGGAACATTACTTATGGGGATGTGATGCTTCTTCATGCAACTCTGCCCTTAAAAGTCGGGGGGAATTTTCCACTTATTAGGTGCACAGAGCTGCACTGCCTATTCTCCAGTTTTTGGAAATGCTTCAATCAGTTACAAAACTTCTGGAAATTGCTTCTCCAGTGAGTACCCAGCAAATGTTACCTAGACACACAAACAGCACCAAATTGAGCCCAGGCTAATCCATCTTTCCATGCTGTCACTGCACCCAGCAACTTTCACTCTAAGGTCTTTAAGCATAGGCATGTATCTATTCAAAGACATGACTAGAAATGTTCAGAGCAGTTGTATTTAAAGTAGCAAAACACAGAAGTCACTCAGATGTGCATCATCTGGGGAGTGGACACGTGCGGTGTCTTCCTACACAGAATGTGGCGCCACCACACAAGGAAAGAAGCACAGCTTGAATCTCAAAAACATGCTAAGTGACAGAGCTGTCAAAAGATTCCCCTTATATATTACAGAAAGAGCAAAGTGGAGCATGACAAAGCAGTTAGGTGGTTGCAAGAGATCACAGTGGAGGGCAGTGATGACTGTCAAGGGACATGAGGAGAGCTTTTGCAGTGAAGAAACATTATGAACGTGATGTAGTAGTGGTTGGGTGTCTCCTACATTTATGAAATTTACCAATCTATGCAAGTAAAATGGGTAAACTTAACTCTATATAAATTATTTCACAATAAAGCTCTTAAAATAAGGTAACTACTAAGATCTAAGAAATACCCAGGGAACTCACTTTTGAAGTGACTTGCACACCCAAAGAACTAAAAACCATACAGAGATATGTTTGAGACAGGACTTGAATGACACTTTCAGGACGCACCTGATGTATTACCATATGTGCCAGTGAGGGTGCACGGAAAGGGAGGTCTCTACCCTCTGCGAAGTGTCTCAGCCCAAGCTTAATGTGCTCTTTTCTAGCCACCTGAGTCCAGGGTGAGTAATGTGACCATCTTCATCTTTTAACCCCACTTAGAATACACTGTATTTCAGAATTAAATGCATGGACGAAAGGAGGAAAGGTGTCCCAGTAAGGCAAGTTGGCCAAAGATAGCAGTACTGGGGGCACAAGTATGGGACAAGGGATACAGCATTTTAACAACACAGGAAAAGTACGTGAGGACAACAAAGAAGCAGCTTGGACACAATTTGGCATATCCCTACAATGAGATAAAAACACATAACAAGTTTTTATTGGAGAAGCCAAAAATAGTTTAAGAAACACAAGGAGGTGAAAAGAAAATTGGTCACATGGATGACCCAAAAGAGTAGGAGGCAAGGAGTAAGGAGGATGCAAGGGGAATTCTCAAAGACAGGAGAATCTGCCTGGATGTAGACACCATCAGGGAGCCAGGGGATGGAATCTTTTCAGCAATATATGTGTGGACCTTCCAATACCACTGGTCAAACAGATCTTACACAAACTTTTTTGCAGGTCTGCAATGATCATTTATGTGTGGTCCTGACATTGTCGGCAGAAACCATGAAAATGACAGTAAACTTCAGGAGACAGCCCACTAAAGACCTGCCTGCCTCTCCAGAATCACCCGCAACTGGCCCAGGCTCCAAGGGCAAGTGCACATGAGCAGTTCTAGTGCTCAAAAAAATAGAGTCCGCAACTTCTCTGGACAGAAATAGATGAGTGGGTGAGTTGTTTGAAAATATAATAATAGATGCCATTTAATATAGGTGGACAATAGGTAGAGACATTTTCAGTACTTGGCAACCTTGTTGCCCAGCTGCTATTGGGGAGCTCTAGATGTGCTCCTTCCACCTTGTGACACCTCCAAAATTCTTGTTTACCCCTTCTACCAAGTGTGGCCACAGTGAGAAAGTTCCATTGATAAGCCAGAGGACAAGCCAAATCTGGTAGTGTACTGATGCCCACTTCTTAGTCTCCCAATCTCAAAACAAATTTCTGCTGTTTAGAATCTACCTAGATTATGATACTGCTTTACGGCAGCCTGAATATACAAAGAGCCTAGGTTCATATAACCTGAGTTTCTGTTACCCTATATAGATATGAGCACTGATGGAATAATTGAGAGGTGAAAAGACTTTTGACACCCAGGTGTGGATAACATTCTCCAAGACATCACTTTCATTTCAGGCAAGAATACAGACTAGTAGGACAAAAGGTAGAGGCATGAAGATATAGTAAGGAAAGGAAAAGGAATCCAGTTCCAGTGTGATGGTGAAGAGGGTGGCTGTCCATTGGGACTTACACATCCATGGCTCGCTGGGTGTCTTAGTTGACACAAAATACCCAACACCCAAAGTTAAAGGAGGAAAGGTTATTTTGGCTCACAGTTTGTAGAGGTTTCAGTCCATAGTTGGCTGGCTCCAAGACAGGGTGGCATGGCAGAGGGGAATCACAGAGGAGAAACAGTTCATGGCAAGCAAAATGCAGTATGCAGCAAGTTCAGCAGCAGCAAGTGACAAGTGACAGCAGCAAGCTCTCTTACTGTACCTTATATCCTATCCAGGCTACCCACCTTTATGGCAGGTATCACTCACACCCACGGTGAGGCACACATAATCCTAGCATTGCACCATGAATCAATATCAGCATCACATACTTGATCTCAGCACCACACATCCTATATCCATGCACCTCTGGAAAGCCCCAACTATGAACGCATGAGGCTTTACAGAGACATGAGGCTTTACAGAGCAACAAGAGTGGAGGATAAAATGGGTGCCTAATAAGAGGAAACACAAAGCAGGCTTGGCAATGAATGTTATGCAGGAGATTCTTCATGAGATAGGGGTACATGGAGGAATGAAGAGTGGACGAATGGCTGAATGAGCGAGTGGGTGTGTGTCATCCTAGGCAGACCCTACGTGAACTCACACCCACCCTTCCCTCCCACACACAGGGAGCTATAGCTCTGTGTGCTTCTCCTCAGCCCCCTTTAGCTCCTGGATCTTCTGGGGCAGGGTCTCCATCCAGAACTTCAGCCTGGAGGCCTTCAGGGCATGGCCCACAGTAGGCTCAGTGTCCAGCTGCAGGTGCAGCTCCTCATCGTCCAGTGCAGGCCAGTGGGGCAGGCCCTCACCATTGGGGTTCCTGTGAAGATACCCTCCCAACACGGGATGAGAGGTCAGTCTGAGTCCTGTGGAACCCCGCCTGAGTATCTTGATTTGCATCAGGACCGACACCTAAGCTGGCAAGTGTAGAAATAAGGGGAACTTTTCCTGATACAGAGAACAAAACCATCCCACTAGTGTCCCTTCCATGTGAGACAGGGCTTCCAGTCTTGTTTTGTCCCTCCCTCTTAGAGACGGGCTGTGACTGAACCACAGCACTATGATTCACCACACAGGTCACTGGGAGAGGGTTGAGTAACCTATACTGTCAAGGCTCCTTTCTGTGTCCACACAATTCTTGGTCTTGCAAAGGATTTAATGCTTGATTTAAGGATACATATATGCTAACAAAGTCCCTACAGATAAGAGGGGCACCTGATGGGTTCAGACACCATGTGAGGATTGAGGTAGGGGCATCATCTCACCCATTTCGTGCAAAGTTGGCCCAATACTTCATCATCCTCCTATTTAGTAGCTTCTCTTCCTCAGTGAAGGGAGCTGCAGAGAGAAGGACAAAAACCCAGATCTTAGACTGATGCTCATCGCACTCACCCTGCTGCACATTCATGTACCAATCTCATTGCTTAGCTATATCCTGTCCCTGGACACCAGGCCTGGTCCTCTCCTTCCCACTTTCCCTAAAGCCAGGCCCTCCCCTTGCCCAACCATCTTCATCTCAGTCTCTAGTCAAATGGACCCCAGGCTCAGTGCTGACCTAGAAGGTCCCTTCTTCCTTTGACTCTAGTAAGTCATTAGAAAAATAAATATGCTGTGAGACAGTCCCTCCTGCCCTTTCCACCCATGCTGGACACCAAGATCAGGATGAAGACAGTTGGAGGAGGGAGAACTGAGAGGAGTGCAAGGGCTTGGATTCTAATCCCAGCACAGTCTCTTGAAGTTTAGGATAGTGGGCACTGACCCTATCTTCTCTCTGGGCCTCAACTTCCTCATCTGGAGTGGATGAAATCACAACTCAGGGACCCAGCTAGAACTCCATCCGTACTCCAGGGTGTCGAGGAGACTCACCTTTCGTGCCCCACAGGAAGTTTCCAAAGACAAAGTGCACCTCATCAGAATGGTCAGCCTTCACATGGGGTGGCCTGATGTTTTTGAGGAAATTGGGAGGATGCTGGAATTCATAGAAGTAGACAGTGCCATGGGAACCTGAGGAGGTGGACAGCTGTGACTTGGTGACCTCTTAACTGGAGTGCTTCTGCCTCACCATTGGTGATAGAACACCTAAGTCCAAAGTTGACTGGAATCTGAACAGTGTATTAAAGAGCCCCAGGTTGCAGCAGCAACAGTGGGAAGGGCCTTGGATAAGTCATGACCTTGGACTTCCCAGCTGAGTAGTTTGGGCCACTCACTGAGTGTCACTCTCTTCAGTTTCTCCACTTGTATAATGAGAAAGATGTCTGTCTCTTACATCAGATATGAAAACAATTTTTAGTGCATATGAAGTGAACTGACTCGTGGGTTTCATTTTGGCATAATTGTACATGCATATAACACAGTGATCATTCTCCCCCTATTTCCACCTTCCCTCTTTCTTCCTCCTTCTCCTGATTTCCTTCTTCTTTTCTAGTAGTCTTCCTTCTTTCATATCTTCCTTTTTCTCTACATTTTTCCTATGTAGGAAACACGTGATATGTGACATTCTTTTTTTTCTTTTTCTCTTTTTTTTTTTTTTATTTTAAGGATAAAAGGAGGGAAACATTAACAGACATA